GCGATCCTCTCAACTTCGGAAAAAAAAAAATTTATTACACATTAAATCGATAAATGGACCACATAGTGGAGCTTAAAAGTATAATGTTCTCGCCTCAAATGATCTGAAAAGAGAACATTTAACTTAATACTCTGAGCTCTGTGAGCGCTCCATTGAAAGCTGCTGCTGCCGCAGTGCATGCTGGGACAGCTGTCAATCTCAAGAACTGACAAATCTACCCTGATGCATGCTGGGTAAAGAGAGAGGGGCGAGAACAACATCCGGGGACTTTGTCCGTTCTCGGTCTTCTTGTGAATTGGAACAGTACTATGAGAACGCATAAGTACACATATTGAGAAACGATAAATTAGTCGGTGCAATCGACTGGTTTTCCTTAGATAGAAAACTTTGAATCAATGTGACTGTGAACTGTAAAGTGCTTTGAGATGACATGTGTCATCTCAAAGTAAAAGGCTTTTCAATGGAAAGGTTCAACACTGTTTCATATACAAACTTTGATACAAGTTCAGATCAATTAAGTGTATTTCTATAGCGCCGATTCACAGCACATGTCATCTTAAGGCACTTTACAGAGACAATTCAACCAGATAATCCAGTCAGGTTCATTTTTTCTTGTGAAGGAAAAACTAGCTGATTGCATCCAGTCATTAACTTGCAGGACAGGCTTTTTCTAGCGAATATATTCACTTGTATTTTGTCGCTGACTCTACAGCAATCTGCTGCAGAGGAAATGCTCCCTTTGAACTGAAGAACCAGAAGCTGACTCGGTGTGAGCAGCTGTGCTGTAGCAGGGAAACCTCTAAAACCTGCAGGACTGCGGCCCTCAAGGACCGACTTACGGGAGACCTGGTCTAAATCGATTTTACACATTTGAAACAGAACACCTTTCTGGTAGGATTCCTTCTTTAGACAGAAAACTAAAACAGTTTAAGAGATGAAGAAAATAAAATGCAGGTCCAAAATAAAGAGTATAATTATATACCCCCCTCATTATCTCAGTGGGAGGGGTTATAAATGAAAAAATAAACCTCCTCCTGCATTTACAAGGTTTATCAAAGACAGATTCTGAGGGAGGGTATCTAATGTCCAGACTCCAGGGGAACCAGGAGTGCAGCAGATGAACCAGAGAACATCCAGCAGCTCCTTCAGCTCTGATCTCTCACACATAGCTAGAATAACCTGCTTTAAATAGTCTCTGTCAGATTTCCAGCCAAGAAAACTTTTTGGATAAACCAAACCAGCTGAGCCATTTATCCAGGAAAGCAGAGGATCTGAGGTAGAGGAAGATGGCTGCAGGTACTTTAAATCCAGCTACACTTCTATGCATGAAAGATAAATAACAGGAACACTCAGGCTGCCAGAAGAGCTCACTGCCTGCTACAGAATATGTTACTCGTAACGTAAACGTAAACATGGACACAAAAAACCTCCACAAAGGCCCCGCAGGTCAGCCTGTCTCAGTTCCTCATCAGTGATGCTTATGAAACACAAACCATCGTCCCAGTTAGGCTAACGAGGGACAGATTGGGATCACAAGGACATCAGGGAGAAACGATTAGCTGGATTAATGGAGGAGGGAAAACGGACCGGGATGTTTTCAGAAGAATCTGAGGAAAGAAGACATGAAGGGGAATAATAGGTCCTTCTTTGGTGATTTTCTCCCTTTGTAACAAAGAACAGATGGTAGATTCTGTTGTGACCTTCTGGTGTCTGAGAGGTTGGATGTAAACATTTTTGCTCTATGGTTGGATAAACTCCTCATCATCTCCATCAATCTCTCACTATTTGGCCTCGAATGAAAGGGATCTGTAGAGCTGAAAGACATGGAACTGAAAGATTGGCTGTGCTCTGCTCCACCTGCGTTCTTCTCTAACACTGCGAACCTCTAACATGGAAGAATCATTTGAAGCATGTTGTCCATGTCCGTCTCATTTTTCGGGAGAAAAAGCATTTCTGCAGTGAGCTGTTTCCTACAGATATTGACCCAAAGGATGCAAATCTGATTCTTTTTTGGTCTTTCAGAGCAACTTCTCGGTTGACGCCAGAGCAAGTGAACCAGACATCCCAAGTCTCCCGGAAGTTCCAGGAGTCGCCCTGATATAGATAATTGTTCACGGATTACCCACGAGTCGGATAAACTGTCCTGGATTTTAAACTATGCAAGGTGGTGCTTTTTTAATGTGAGTGAGAGCGTGCAGGCAATACAATAATTCATGCACCCTGTGGGGATTAAATCTACTTCGATTGCGCAGACACAACAAGAGTTGTTCCTGGTGCACCGGCGAAATCGCTCCCCGCAGTGCAGTATGAAAAATTAAAAGAGAAGGCATTTTCTGACATTTTTCCTTATGCCAGGGCCCTGGGACACACAGCGTTTGATTTAGTGATGTGACCGATACATGTGTGTTTTCTTATTTAACTGGCTGTTAAGTTATTGCACTGTTTCCCAGCTGTGAACGTAACACCTCGCTCCATTCATGTTGCCCCGCTTTTCCTATTTAATTACTAATTTATCTCACTAGACCTCATTAAAAGGGTCACTTCGCATGCCATTGCAAATGAGATAATACCATATAATGCATGTATACAATCCATTTTCAAAAACAGACTCTTACCACAATGATTACTTTAAAGTCGTAGGGAAGCCATATTTAAATGTCAAATCATTCTGGCTTAAACATGTTTATAAATGTACTCTTTATTAGATGGTATTATTCCCAAAATTTAGAAAATATCTATTTTTAACAAAATCTTGTCTTTGAATCCTGTGTTTTTTTTTTCATTATCTTCTGCAGGCCAGTTAGTTCTACGTCATCCTGAACACCTAAATTCGTCCAATCATATATCAACGGTCATCTGTCAATCAAATTTTTTCGGTCATAGCATCTTGATTCATATGTCGCAGCTAATATACGCAACGGTTGAAATAAGAACTAAGAATAATTTCCTTTCCCATCGAGTTCCGTCCCAGTGTTCACGGGGATGGACGTCTGTGTCTTCAGCAGGCGTAGAGCTAACAGAACTGGCAGCGTTGCGAGGCAAGGGCTCAAACATGTACGGCTGGAAGCCTTCTACACCAAACCAAGCTTCTGCCGCCCTGGCGTCCTCTTCCACGACATCTTCGTCCCCGCTTTCCTCCTCTAAATAAAAAATGTATAACGGAGGAGACTCATCCAAGACCTCTGACACTAAACTCTCCTGCTTGCTTGCGAACCTTCCGCCACAACAATCCCGCCCCCTTGATAATTGACCAATCACATTCACTTTATTCACTCGTGTAAAGTCGTGCACCACTTGAGAGAATTCGCAAATGCAACAGTTGGCATGGCCGTTTCCCTATGATTTTAAGTAACATTTTTCAGGGATTTAAAAACTATTGGCCTGCAAATGTTTTTCAACTCGAAAACATGTCGGGAAAAAAAAACACACTTAAATCAAATAAATGTTAATTTACAAATTTTATAATCCAATATTTTTAATTGACAATAAACTGAAGCGAAGCGTGAACTGAATTTCAGAGCGAACTGGAGCGGAGCAAAATCCTCACTCCGGCCTTTGAATTGAAAACCGCTCTGCGCTCCACCATATTTCTTCTGCTCCGCTCCACAGCTCGCTCCGCTCTGCTCACATGCTCTGGTTGAGGCCTAACCCATTCACCATGGGTCAAACAAACAGAACTGTGGTCAGACCCCTGCAGCCTGATCCAAATCCCAAGCTGTAAAAATCCAACATTATCCGATATGTCAGTCCTGGCGGAGCCCTGGATGCCACCGTAAAGCTTCTGTAAGGGTGCTGCCAACATTCTACCATCAAAGCAACAATTCAACAATTCAAAATACTTTGTTGACACTTGATCTGGAAGCGCCTCCTTCAGCTGGACCTAAATAATAAATGAGTTTCCAAAAAAACTCACAGTGAGGATCCTGGAGCACAGCCTGAGGTTAGAACCCACCTGAGATTCCTCAACATCGCCTGAAAACAGCCTTTTGCTGCTAACATTATATAATCAGAAAATGCTTCATTGCCAGGTAGCGTTTTGACACGTGTGAGGAATGAGTGTTGGTGATGAGGCTGTAAATGTTACCCAGAGGTAACTAGAACATTGAATATCCAGGTGGAAAAAGGGTCCCGCTCTTTTTCACCCTCATGTCCCTCCGTTGTTGGACAAACTTGCCCCCACTTCCTCACCCCCTCGGCCGTATCTAGACCCACAGCTAGTTCCTGATTGTCCCTCTTAGGTTGTGGAGTGGAATAACATAGTGCAGACCACACTTCAATATTGGGCATAAATCAAAAATGTCTGCATCAAGCTCCCGGTGACACACTGCTGAGGGAGGATAACCAGACATTTACAGTTGCCTTTTGTGTCTCTGCTTCTGTCTCCTTGAACCGCAGTCGGCCTCAGCAGATGGTCACTCACACTGAGCCTGGTTCTGCTGGAGGTTTCTTCCTGTTGAAAGGGAGTTTTTCCTCTCCACTGTCGCTACAAGCATGCTTAGTTTGAGGGATTGCCTTCAAGTCAATGAGTCGATGCAATAAACTGGTTTTCCTTAGAAAGAAAACTTTGAATCAATGTGACTGGATGATCTGGTGAACTGTAAAGTGCCTTGAGATGACATGTGTTGTGAATTGGTGTTATATAAAAAAACTGAATTGAATTTAATTAAAAAATGTCCCATTGATCCTTTAGTGTTGCATTTGGAACTAAGACCTACTTGGATCTAATCTGAATCGGCTCTGAGACAAAGTGTTTGGAGAAGGATGTTTTAGGACAGGTCAAATGTTTCTCATTTATTAATTCAACCAAATGTAGTCATTTTGGTTTATTTTGATGGCACCAAAGTGACAATAAAAGATTATGCTAATGATGAAGATGGCCAAAGCACAGATGTGCAATTATGACTATGAAGACAAAATGTCAGAAAAAGTAAAACATCTGACATTTCTAATTTTCTTTCCCATTTCACCTCTTTCTGTTTATCGTCTTACCTGTCAGAAAGAAGAAAGATTGGAAAAGGAGGACTTGGAAGAAAGAAGGAGAGAAAACGAGTGCGACTCTTCGCCAGAACCCGCTCAGCTACGGCAGCAGCAGAAACCAGCAGAGTGCTCCGAGGCGCCTGAATCGGATCCAGATGAACCGCCGGAGCTCACGCCCGTCTGCTGACAGCAGAGATCCGTCAGCCGCCCTGCAGCTCGTTTCCATGCAGCTGATTCATCTGGAAAATGGAGGAAAAGTAACACCTGTACAGAGTGGAAATGTTTTAGTTTCTTCCCATAACCTGTGGAGAAAAAAAAATCCAGTGAGGGATTTAAAAAAAGCAAAAATTAAGTCAAGAATTAATTTCTTTATGGTGTTCTGCTCATCTGCACTGATCCAAAATTATATTTAATTAGGTTTTCTGTTTAATTTGGTCCATTTGCTTTATCAGAGTGGTGAAGTAGATCCAAAGTATGAGCATAAAAGCCCGGTTCGTCTGGGTCAGTATGGCCCAGTTTAGTCCAACCACGATCCAACTCAATGTAGAATGGTTTAAATCCACTTTGACCAGGACTGCATCGACAAATGGCCGCCTGATATCCTCTATATGGAGATATACGGTCAGATAGAAGCATACGAACCATAGGATCCAGGAAAGATCAAAAGATCAGAGCAGAAGCTCCACCAACCGGGTCACCAACAGGACCATGATACCAAACACTGCAGAACCCCCCCACACACACACACACATAGGAAAATGTCCAGACATCTGGAGGTTTTATTTATGAGTAATTTTGCTCTGTTCTTCCTACAGCAAAAAATGTTTTGTACATGGAGATTTTAAAGAAACATATTTCATAATTTAAAAGGAAATCTAGAAAAAAAAAAAAAAGTTTTCTTAGATTGTATTCTTTTTTTCAAGATTACAGATTATTACCCTTTACTTTAAGCCCAATGAAGATGTTGTTACTAACGTAGAGCAGACCAAGAAAAAAATGCTTCATTGCTCCTCATTCCAGAGGAAAGCCCAGGAGGGAAGATGATGTCATCTACAGAACACAATTTGAGAAAAGGAAGGAGGATGAAATACATGGAAATTGGGCAGAAAAAATACATTTAAAAAAAGCTTTTGTTTTCTAACTTAAAATCTGTAATATAAATAAATAAATCAAAGAAAAACAAGGAAAACAGTTTCTGGATTGTATTTCTTCTCAAATTTCCATTTTACAACGTGATTTTTTTGGAGTAAAATTCACTCCATATTCCCTAGTCAGTGCCGAGCGTCCATTGGACCTGAGAAAAGATGGTTCCCGGGTTTACGGTCCTCCAGCAGCTGCTGCTGCTGTCATTTAAAACAAATGCTTTAATTCCAATAAAAACAGCCATATTGGATTTCCTTTCACTTTGAATCAAGCCTTTTCCAGTTGTTTTTGTCCAACCTGTTCATTCTAAACATATGGAAGAAAGAATTAGTTAAATGGCAAATATTCTCTTAAAAAAAGGCTTTTTTTGTTTTTTGTTTTTTATCTCGAGGCTGAAAACTTCCCGCTGACTGTAGAGGTTCTAAATGACATTTTTGCATTTACAAGAAACCTGTATACAGAACATTTCTACAAGTCCATCAGCAGACTCCAAAACGTCTGCAGGACTATAATAAGGTGAACTATGAAGAAGAGAAAAACTCTAAGAGGGTTTTCATCTCCTACAAGTTTGACCCAAACCAATGCAACGTGAGGGCTTCTAATGCATCACATTATTTTTTCCTTCTGGTTGAAACTAAAACGCGCTGCATTTTGCAGTTTATTCATTTTTCAGTGAAAAAGTAATAAGTCTTTCAAACTTTGCATCTAAAGCTCAAATCTAAAGCATTTTTAATTAGAGAACCATATAACATGACTGAGCTGCAAACATGGGTGCAGCTTTATGTGTCGCTTTAATCCAGGTTGATTTATCTGGTATTGCACATTTAAATCTTGCTTTTCTGTATCTTTATCATCCACTGCATATTTATCACTTTTCATCTGATGGAAAGGGAAAGGATGCATGAGTGGATGTTTTGTTATCATCACGTGGAGAAAGGAAAACCTTTGGAACTGCAGCCAGTTGAATTGTGGTAGATTGCTTAAAAGTCAATGACTGCATGTAATCTGCTGGATGTCCTTAGAGGAAGATCTTCGCTCGATCTGTCTGGATAATCTGATTGAATAATCTCTGTAAAGAGCCATTGGATGATGTGTTGTGGATTGGCGTTTTATTAATAAACTGTATTATAAAAACTGAACTTTTTCTTTCATGCCACTTTTGTTCGGACATAGTTTCCAGTAGCTAATCTTTCCAATTAAAACAAGCTGCTGATGCTCTAAAAATCTGGATTGAATTTTCTCTTTAAACTTTTCACCTAAAGCTGTTCTCTGAGGTCTTATCTGAAAGCTCCCAAAAAACAAAAACAAAAAATTTTTTGATAAAAATCCAAACAGCCGACCCTCAGAGTTAAATCTGGTCCCGTATGGTGTGAATTTGGTTCCATTATTCTTGCAAACTAAGAGTGTGTTCTGGAAATTGGAAAACACACAATTTGTAAAAAATAAAGTTTAAAAACAAAAAATCTATGCCATTCAGAAAATGAAACTTTGATCAAAAAAGGTTTTAAGAGTAACTTTCCGGTTTTCTCCGATTAAAAAAAATATATATATTTCATATTTACTTTTTTGAAAATGTTATTTTTCAAATTGCATAATTTTCACAGATCTGATATTTTCTAATGATATTTTTCCAAAATTTACCATCTCATTTTTTTATACATTTTATATATTTTTTCAATTGTAGTTTTTTAAATAGTTTTTATGGATTACATATTTTTTTATTTCTTTTTTTCAGATTGATTTTTTTTTTACAAAAGGCATTCTTTTGAAATTGTGTTTTACAGACCGCTCTTCACTTCAGTCCCAATATCAAAGCTCTTTTTTTGATGCACACAATAAAATAAAAATGTTGTTGCTAACGTCTGGCAGACAATAGAAATCAAAGGAAATCCCTCCCTAAGAAGTCAAAGGGAAGTGATCTGGAAAACACAGTTTGATAAGAATTTAATTTGTAAAACTCAATCTATTTAAAAAAAATTAATATATATGTTATTTTTTCTATGAAATAAAGAAAAAAAGTATATATAATCTTAAAAATATGAAACATTTTCACTTACCGGTGGTGAGTCTGACATAGTGGAAAAATTGTAACTTTTGAAAAGTAAGCTTGTATAAGTGATGCAAACAGCAACTTTTAAACAGAGCGTGGCCCAGGAGAAATGGGCTCGTGCATTTACTCGGACAGGTTTAATAACCGTAACTACTGGGAGCGGGTACAGGGTTGTGCATGTGCAGATGGCGGGTCTTTTAAAAAATTGTTGAAAATCCACCTGGTGCATAAGATGCTCTTGGCCGTACCACCAAGAGGTAGTCCTTTAGTGCAGAGTGAGGATAAAGAGCTTTTTTAATATATTTTCTGCACTAAATGCTCCCAAGCAGCTTCTCAATCAGAGCTACGATACGAGAAGCAAACTCTTCTGCATTCTCCAAGAAATCAAGCATTTTGTTGGGAATCCCTCATTCTGTATGAAATAATCCCTGAATACTGGCTCGACAAAAAAATAATAAAAAAAAATACACCGAAGACACCAAAACCTTTTTCAATCCAGAAAATGTACAGAAGATTACATTTTCTTTATTTTACTCATTTAATCTGTTAGCTTGACCTTATCTTTTAATGCCTATTTCTATCAGTAAGTGAAGTATATAAATTAATTTATGCTCATTCAGAAATAGCTCTTTTCTTATGGGAGGGAGATTCATGCATCTTTATAAGAAGTCCTCATTGGAAACAAATGAGTAAACAGATTAAACGCATGTATGCGTATATGTATGAGTTAATATCATGCAAAACAATCTTTCTGGAGATGCAGATAAAGAAATGACCGAGTCTTATTTAGTATCTCCCAAATAGAATCTGGTCTTTATTTCTTCTGAGGCATAATGTAGAGCGGATGTAGAATTGACCAATCAGAGGCCTCCTGTCTGCAGTCGCTTACAATTTTGAAGAGGTGCAGCAGTGTCTGTGGAAGGGGCGGGGACATATTTGCGATCACTGGGACACACACACAGATGACCTGGTTTCTGACTATATCTCCGACTATATAACTATTACTCTTTTCATAAAAATGTGGTTGATATACAGTTAGCTGAAACCAAAGCTAACAAATGTGGAGATAATTTTGATACAAAACATGCTTGTGTCCGCAATGCCAAATTTGTAACACATTTTGTGCTGATTTAAAGTATCTGTGTAATTTTCTTTTTAATTTGAAGCCTACATAACATTTTGTGCAAAACTTCATGTACTTGTAAATGTGTGCTCAAAAACAAATATGATTAAATTATGAATACAAAATATGCACACACATACATACAAACCATTATATTCATGAATACAAACCACATGAGACACATGTATGGAGTTAGAAAGGGGTCAAAATGTTTGTAAACTTATAAATCTTAGTTTTACGGAGCCCCTCTGATGAAATGGTCAAAAAAAAAATTTATTGTGGCCACGCAATAAGTATAACGTGCGCACGAAATACTTATTAATAATATTAATATCATTCCTGGACAACTAGGTAAGCAAATCGAGCACACCTTACCCAGTCGGTCTCCGCCAGTCACGTGACATTTGTTGCTAAGACGCCATTTTAGGTGGAAAAGGCGTAGTGTAAACAACCGCAGCATAGCTAAACGAAGGACTAAAGGCCCGTTTACATAGCAGCCTGTCCAAGATAAGTCATTACAGTTAACATAAGCCTGAAAAGATGGGCCGATTTATTGATATTATTATTAAGTATTTCGTGCGCACGTTAAACTTATTGAGTGGCCACGAAGTAGTATTTCGTGCGCACGAAATACTACTTCGTGGCCACAATTAAACATTTTTTTTGACCATGTCATCAGAGGGGCTCCGTATAGTTTAAACTGAAAAAAAAAAAAACATTTGAAACAGAAAAAATAGAAGTTGATATTTAATGTCAGATTTTTACCTTAAAATGTGAGAAACTAAAAAAGCAAACATAAAATAATAAGAATTGAATCTAAATTCAGTTGAGTATTTTTATCACACTTTTTCTTTTTATATTTCTTTTTTTCTTGCAGTTTTAGATTTTATATTATCAGATTCAAATCTCTTTCTATCAGTTTCTATTTCTTTTTAAAGTTTAAATTCTTTCTTCAATTTCAGGATTTTTTTTTTTCAAATCAGTTTTCTTTTTTCCATTCAGATTTTGTCCCCGATATGACAGGAGTGGGCGGGGAAACGTGATTGACAGCTTGCAGCAGCGCTGGAGAGATGCTGAAAAAGTGTAATTAAAATACTCAACTGAATTATGAGTTTTTTCAAGCTGAGGGGAAGAACTTAGATTCAATTCTTATTATTTTATGTTTGCTTTTTTAGTTCTTCAGATTATAGTAAAAATTGGACATGCAATGTACGCTTATATTTTTTCTGTTTTAACTTTTATCCTTTCAGTTTCAACTAAGATTTATAAGTTTACAAACATTTTGACCACTTTCTGACTCCATACTCACTAACAAACCGACAGCTACAAACAAATCAGGTCATGAGTGCAGAAAGTTTTTATTTGAGACATTTCATGCTTTCAGAGAGGCCCCAGATTCATGTCTACATGGTGCATTTAAATGCTGTGGGAAATGGGATATCTCAGCACTCCTTAGAAGACATAAATCTACTATTTCTTGTTTATTTACATGCATTTGTGAGTCTACAAATATAAAAGGAGAATGTGGGGTAGGTGAGAGAGGAGGCTTTTTTGTTTTTTTGTAGTATATACCTGAGGCTTCAGTGATTTAAAGAATAAGCTAGATCACTTTAATCAGGCAAACTTATTTTTAATAAAATGGAAAATTTTCTTTAAAGTTTTAACCATGGATTTAATGGTTTGTATGTATAGGATTTGATAATAAAGATAAAATATTCCTTATTTTTAACAGGGAGTTTGTGTAACTGCTGGATCTGATATAGCCTGATAAACCAGACTAAATGTGAGTTTAAATGTGTAATTTAGTCTGACCCCGATTAATGAGACATCGGAAGATTGTTGAAGAGAACAACTCGCTTTTTAAACC